AAATGTATGTCATCTTAAGTACAAATATTTTATGACATATTTTTGTATGTCGTGAAAATATACATTTTTTATGGCATGCTTTTGCATGCCATAAAAAAAAAAATCGGATAATTTTTTTTTTTTTTTTTTTTTTTCAGAAGTTTTTCTTCGCAAGTTGTTTGTCTTCGCCTCAGCCTCAGCCTCCGTCTTATAGCCAAGGCAGACACGCGCATCATGCGCCGCTCGGCGCTCGACGACAAACTGGGCACGCCTTTTGATGGCACACCTTTTTATGGATTGGGCACGCCTTTTGATGGCACGCCTTTTGATGGCACGCCTTTTTGGAAGATTGGGCACACCTTTTGAGGGCACGACTTTTGAGGGCTCGATATCTCTATCCATGTATATCTTTTGGGCAGCCTATATACACACTCATCCAGTGTCTTCTACAACGGTCAGCTTTTATCAATCCCTTTGTTTCAACCTCAAATAGGTTTCTATCTTCACACCTATTTGAGTTTGAGGGGGGGTTATACACAGTATCATGTATAAGTCGCCCATGGCGCATTCCCTAAGTCACCCCCTTGGTGCACCACCACAATTTTCTACAACGGTCCGACATGACCCCGTAAACTGTCCCGACATTGATTCCAGTCAGCTTCTACACCGGTCTGACATGACCCCATACACAGTGTCTGCTACAACGGTCTGACATGACCCCGTAAACTGTCTTCTACATCGGTCCGACATGACCCCATAAACTGTCTGCTACATCGGTCTGACACGACCATACCGTGTCTCCTATCTTGTTTTATTTTATTTATCAGTTTACTTTCCTGTTTTGTTACTCTCTCCAATCTCAAGTTGGTTTGTGTCTAACCTCCTTGAGTTTGAGGGGGGCTGTTAAACCTACTCCACTAAACCTAACCCACTACACCACTACCACCTCACCTACTCCACTAAACCTAACCCACTACACCACTACCACCTCCACTTCACCTACTCCCCCACTCCACCTACACTTCACATCTCCTATATAATGTACATACAATACATCAAAACATGAATATCAATCAATAATACAATTCTCTATTTTTCTATACATCAATTTTAACAGGAAGCATGTGAATGGGCTCCAATGGAGGTAGAGAGAGAGAGAGAGAGAGAGAGAGAGAGAGAGAGAGAGAAGAGGGGGTGCTTGTTCAAAATTTGAAATTAGAAAGAGATGAGAGGAGGAAGCGTGTTGATAGAGAAATAGATAGAGGATGTGTGTTGATAATGGTCTAGAGAGAGTGGGTGAGATATTTTCAGCCCTTAGATTAAATCAATCTAATGGCTCAAATTTTGACAACGGGACATAAGTCCCATCCGGATTCAAATTCTGAGTTGCTTTGTTATATAGATATTGCCATTAGTTTTGGGTCTCATGTTTCTCTGGATGTTTTGAGCCACTACCTAATGTTACTTAATTAGGTATGAGGGTTTTTCTACATGGAACTCTATTTCTACTTCTATTCAATTATCTCTTGTTTGAATCACAAGAGCATTTGTGAAATATAACCCCTTCATTAACATATAATTGTGTTTTCTTTTGTGGAAAATTAATTGAATATTTCTATCAAATGTAGGTTTAAGGTCACTATACACCCTTATTTCTGAAGGTGGGCTGATTTGGAGTATTTACAGGTGAGAAATGGACCTGCTATGCCTGAATTTATGAAGCTTGCTGCTTGAGTAGGCTGGCTCTACTTTTCCCCTTACAAGGTCATTACAATGCATCCATATGTTTGAAGTATGAATCAAAATGACATGAGGGTATACTTTAGGGATTTTTGTGAGAGTCAGTGAGTGGAACTAGAAGCTAATCATGTTGACATTGCCTTAAAATAACCTTTCCCCTGCCTTTGAAATACATTCTGGGAAAGAAGGGAGAGGGGCCTAAGGCTCCCTATGAAACAGTGAGACCAAATAGAAGTTGAATTGTTATTTTAATCTTAATCCTTACTTATTATAAAATAAAAAATAAAAATTACTTAATCGAAACAATTATTAAATAATTACACGATAAGACTGACACAATCGTTATCATACACCTGATGTCTAATTGTATTTCTTTTATCTAGTTTAAGCTGTCTATCTTTTATCATTATGCCTGTTATAATTGATTTGTGTCAATAAGTTTGGATTTGTATGGCTTGACTCTCCAATTTGTTTTCTTAATCAGCCCTCCATTGTTGTTGTCCTGGGCTTTATTGGGTTCAAGATGATCTTAGATTTCTTTGGTGGGTAATTTCTGAACACAATTATATTCTTTAATTAGGAAAGTTCTCCTTTAGCATTAATCAACCCTTCCTTGCAGGTTATCACGTATCAACTGAGGTTTCTCTTGGTTTCGTAGCTACAACTCTTAGTTCTGGAGTTTTGTTGAGTTTAATGAAGAATTCTAACAAGAATTAGATGAAGAGCCTTCCAATCATGGTGGTGGGTGCTTAATCCATATTTTAATATTTTTTTTTTAATATCTCTGAGCAATTACATTGTTCCTCTTACTCCATGTCTGTCTAGTTTCCAGTCAGCAGGTGAACCACAAAAAACTTGAATTCATGTACATTCATTTTTTTATTTTTTATTTTGGTGGCAATTGCTTTGTTGTATAGTTGGAGATGTTAGGTAAGGAAAGTCGTTTCGGATAAAACAGTGTAAAGTTGAGTTAATTTATGAGAAATGAATGATTCAAGAATGCCTTGTCCTGGGGTAAAAAGGTGGAAATAGACCTGGTTTACATTTTGGAGGTCTTGTTTGCCTTAATCTTTTCACAGATTGTATTTGAAATTTTTCTTTGCTGATATTCGGTTTGTTCTGACCTATGATTGGCATGGAAGTGTATTTTAATTAATCTTTGCAGTTATGAGCTATTAGGCCAAGAATCCTCTCCCCTAAAATCAACATTTTTTTTTGTCGTAATGCAATTCAAACCATTTTTGAGACGTGAATCTCAAAACATGATCAAATGGATTAGGAATGCTTTGGGATAGCGAGATTTGATTTTTGTTGAACTTAAGGCCTCGTTTGGAAATAGGTTTTTTGGTAACTTTTTAACTTTTTGGTTAAAATATGTTATAAAAAAAATTAGTATGTTTAGAATGACTTTTTAATTTTTTACGAAAAGATGTGTAAAAAGTAAAGAAAAAAATATAATATTTGATTTTTTGGTATAGTTTGTTGGTTTTTTGATTTTTTTTAATAATTTTTCGATTTTTAGGCTAAAAAATAATATTGCCAAACGAGACTTTGCTTTAACTGAGAGAGAGATAAAGAGATGAAACTTTGCTACCAATTGCAAGAGAAGTGAATATGAACTACCAAACTGTGAATAATCAAGGCAGCTCTATTGTCCCTAGTTTGGGAAGTTTAAAAATAATCAAAACAGAAATGGCTGAGGGCTCGAATGACTTGAATGGGTGTGCACTAGACGTCTGTCCGGATGACCGGGTGAAAAATTGTCTACTGTAGATGTCACCTTTGTCGACCGCGGCTGTGAGTCTTCTCACTGAACGTCCACCCGAACGACCGGCAAGACAAATTTTGAGTCATTCTAGTCAACCTCCTTTTCGGGCCACCTAACATTGTTGTAATTAAAAAGTCACTAAAAATGCAAAGAATTATGGGGTTTTTTTTTAAGATCCTTGGTATTAACATTTTATAGCATAAAGGACACCAAATATTTTCATAATGTCTAAGGTCCCTCAAGTTGATCTAGAGAAAATTGGTCCAGAGAAAATTAGTCCAGAGAAAATTCACATCACAGAGAAATTTGGCTCAGAGAAATTCTGAGGACTTTCTAGAGAAATTTTACAAATTTCTCTGATTTGAGAAAGGAAGGAAAAATTAGAAAATTGATCTAGATAAAATTTCAAATGCCTGCACTTACACCCATTGTGGTTCATGGTAAAGCACAAAGATCAGCAACAACTCTCCCCATTATCAAATGTGTTTTCGTTTTAACCAAATTTCTCTGACTTCTGAATTTATCTCCAGAGATATTTTGAATTTCTCTGTAACTGATATTGATGTTTGCAGATTCGTCCACCAAATTTCTCTGGACTTCCGAATTTCTCTCCAGAGAAATTCGAAATTTCTCTGGATAATCTAAGTACAATGGGAGCTGTTTGAAGGATGGGAGTAACCACAGTATATACAATTCCTAGAAGGAAGTAAAGTTGAAGGCTTGGAAGAGTCTCTGGAAAATCTACACTCCCAGGGTTCATTGCCCTCTCTCTGTCCCTTACAGTTTTCACCAAGAACGTGTTCTTAAGGTGAAAAATGACCAAAGGCTTCAACTTGAGAAAGAGAGAAAGGGGTTAAACAAATATTGATACCTAGAGAACAAATAGAAGAGACCCAACTAACTTGGAGACATGAAAGCAAATAGCACTTAGGAAAACAAATGGTCTTACTTTATTTATGGTTTGGTTGAGGAGACGATAGTGTAGTGAGTTTGGAGAAAAGCCAAGACAAGGAGACAAGTTGCAGAAGCGAAAATTTAGTTTAAAAACCAGAGAATTTCTCTGGTTTCAACCCAGAGAAAATTCAGTTTAAAAATCAGAGAATTTCTCTGGTAGACCCAAATCTTCATTACATACTATTTTTGCTGAATCTTCCTCCAATCCAAGCTGCCTGGACAAATCCTCCAGCAAACTTCTTCTCACGGTCTCTCATGTGTATATATATATGTTGTTGGATTTGCAGGAGTTGATTAGTTCTAATCTGCTCTAGCTATTGTAGATACAGAATCTACAAAACCCCAAGAAATACCCCAAAAGAATTTGTGTTATTATCTTAATGATTCAAAAATGTGAGCAGTGTTATTTATAACCCTTTCCCTTATTAGGAAGTACTGACTATTATGCTACAATGTAGAAATAAATTTGAAGTACTTGGCTTTTGCTCCCAAATTGTTAGAAATGCATAAACTAAAATTCGCAACATGTAAAGCATAAAAAACTGTTGAAAAGCCCAAACTCTAACATAGTCTTGTCTGTATTGTGTGGTCAATTATGTATTTAATTGGCCAACTTCAGAAGCGAGCAAAGCTGAACGTACCTGCCCCTACTGTTTCAATGGAGGTTCGAGCTGAGAAAGCCCTTGAAGCTATTTATGTGTTCTACTTCGGCAAAGATCCTATTGAAGAAGAAGATGAGAGATTATTATGTATCATGCTTAATGTCGTTTTTCCCTCCGTTGGGCAACAAGAGATGACAAGAATTGTAAAAGAAAAGGCAAGAAAAGTTGCAGAAGGCAGTGAAGAAGACCAAGTTCCAGAGCCAAAGCCCTTATCTAAAGAAGCTGTACAGCTGCAAATGAAGGACCAATTTGAAATGCGGTTACAAATGGGACCACGGCGGCAGAGGCGGCCGCCGGAATCGGACTCGCCAACCACCACCCCTCTGCTGATATCATCATATAATATGACATAAGTTCCAAAAATGGTGATCTCTTTGAAAACATTAGCCACCTCTTGATCACTGCCAAGCGCACCGCCGTCGCACTCCTCCGCTTTACGCCGCCGTATTGTTCTTCACCACCACTTTCTCTCTTCAAATTCTCACACTGACCTTCTCTCCTCCGATACTCAACCTCGACTCCATGATCGATCTGATTCTTCAAACTGTTCTCAACATACTCTTCGCAGAAATCGAAACTCTTCGCAGGGTGAGAAACAAGAGAGGTCTGAGAATCGAAAAGTTGAGAGAGAAAGAGAGAGAGATGAGTTTTGATTTGTTAATGTCAAATTTCTCTGTGATATGTTTAAGGATCTTAGACATCAAAAAAAAAATTTGTGGATCTCTTCCATTACGAAAAGTGGGAGAGGGACCCTAGACTAATTTTTTCAAGAATTATACAAAAAAATCCAATATCTTTTTTCCTCTCTATTTTTTTTTTTTTTGGTATAAAAAGCCAAATTTTTTTTTAAATATACTAATTTTTTTCACTTTATATTTTAGTCAAAAATTACTAAAATAGTCTATCTCCAAACAAAATTTTAGTCACGTTTCTTTTTTTCTTTTTTTTTTCCTTAATTATTATTCGTAGATAAAATCACACTTGACTTGTTTGGCTTGCGGTCAGTTCTGTTCTTCTTCTTCATATCTATATAGACAAGTTGCAAAGTTATGGTTGGTTGGGTTTCTCCTCTCCAAAATTTTTCATTATATTATTGTTATTATTTTGATTGAATTGTCGTTAAAGTCCTCGAGGATGACCTGAAAGTTTTCCTGCAATAAACACGATATTGGATGAAAAATATTATGAACATTAAATAATCTATTAAATTTTTGTCAAATTTCAATAATCCATTAAATTTTTACAAAATTTTTTACATGAGAATCACACAAATTTACATGTGTGTAGATTTCACACCATGTGAGAGGTGGTAAAAAATTTAGTAGATTATTTGAGATTTCTAATATAACTCATATTGAATTAGATTTCTGTCAAATTTAAAATTTTGACATTTATGTTCAAATTATTAGGTTTCATTTAATCTGTATTTATTTCGACAACTATCTCTTTATATTATTCATTAAAAAAAATAAATTAATTTAATAATTATAATTTTTTTTTATTACGTATGCCTTTAAAAAACAAAAACAAAAAAAAAATGTGTTTTTTAAAAATAGAATGTCTACTTTGTTATAACAAAAAAAAAAAAGAAGAAGTCATAGTAGCTTTCATAAATGTCACTCTCCTAGATCATTATTATCGTGAATTTTCTACGTAAATTATAAAAGTATATCGCTTGAGATGTGAGTTAGTTTTTTAATTTTTAAAATTTTTAATTATTTTAATTTGGAGTTAGAAAGTTTCTTTTGAGATTAATTTTTTGATTTTTTAGACTTGTATTAAAAAAAATAAAATGATTATGATTTACAAATGATATTTTATTTTATTAAACTAAAAAATCTATTTTGATTTTTTATTCACTATTTTAGGGCCATTTTAAAAAGTGAGTTAAAAGACACTTCTTAACTTTTAACCTACTTTTCTTTCTCACAAAAAATAAAATTAAATTAAAAAATTAAAATTTTACTCATCCTTCCAAAACACCGAGTCAAAAAGCCCAGTCTTTTTCTCAGGAAGATGATTTTTTCTTTTCTTTACAACGACTATATGACTCATTCTTACATCATTTTCTGAATTGAATTGTCCAGACACGTGTCCCAAAACATGGACTTTTATCCTCTCCTCATTTCGTCACTGCTCGCGCATTCATACGATGAGGGTTCACTCCATCTATAAAGTGCTAGGATTTGTACTGTAAATAATCACACCCTCCTCCATCGAACCTCATACTCGAAAATCACTCTTCTTCATCAACAACAATCAATGGCTACTCCGTAAGCTCTTCTTTGCACTTTGTTTTCTACATTTCTACACACACACAAATATATATATATATATATATATATGAATGTTCATGATATATGTATGACTGTGTGATCTTGTTCTGTGATCACCAAATAGTTAATAGTGTTGTGTGTTGTGTTATAGAAAACGCTAATACCTGGTGAATTACGGTTTAGAATTCCGAAAAATAATACTTTTATTCTAAAACAATAAATTTAGGGATTTTTTTCAAAGGAAAAATGCTTGAGGCCTCGAATTTTTAAGGCTCGAATGTCTCGAAATTTTTATTTATTTATTTTTTTTTGAAAGGGTGGTTATATGATTTGATTA